AATCTTATGAAAGGAATATTGACAACTGATTGCTGCTAGATGAGGAACAGCTGACCTTCCTAAAACAAATACCTCTAGATAGGCTAACTGGATTCACCAGATGGACAAGTAGAGGGGAATGGCTGGGGGTGCCGACAACACAGGGGAGAGTAGGGATAACAGAGTATAAGGGCTCTAGTGGGGGGAGGGAGGCTATGGGAGGGTTCCATCTGGGAAATGGGTGTATAGTTGCATAAAATGGTTTGGGATGTTCTATGTGATATACACACATGGAAAAAAAATCAACAAAAAAACGTATTATATTTGAGGAGGAAGCATGAAAGTTTACGTCATGTTAATTAGTAGAGGTGATGAACATTACCATTGAAATCTACCCGATGACTTTATAGACATACACAGGTGCCAAGGATCCAAGTGCAAATGATTATGACTAGTAATAATTAGATGCATACAGGTTAGAGACATATGTGCCAACATCTCAGTATTAGTAGCAGAAACAATGTCTTTCTGTAAGAAACAGTGTATCTTAGAATGAAATGGAGATTTTTTTTTTTGTCTTTTTGAGACAGGGTCTCCCTGTAGCCCCAGCTGTCCTGGAACTCACTATGTAGACCAGGCTGGCCTTGAGGTCACAGAGATCTGCCTGCCTCTGCCTCCTGAGTGCTGGGATTAAAGGCGTGTGCCACCACGCCCAGCCTTGAAGATCTTTTTTGAGGGTTAAAAACTCATTTGATTTTATGTCTTACAGGACTTATATTGAGTTCAATATTGTATAACTGTATTGATTCAACAGTGAACCTAGAAATTTATAGCCACTTTTGAAGGAGATGTGTCTTTGCTCTGGAAACTGTTATTGGGCATGTTAAAGCTATAATGATATGCTTCTCCTAAAAAAAATAAAAAATAATATTTAAAAATGTAGGAAACAGCAAAAAACAAAAAGTACATTTGAAAATAAGATATCTTGCTGGGCGTGGTGGTACATGCCTTTAATCCCAGCACTCGGGAGGCAGAGGCAGGCAGATCTCTGTGAGTTCAAGGCCAGCCTGGTCTGGTCTACATAGTGAGTTCCAGGACAGCTGGGGCTACATGGAAACCCTGTCTCAACAAGACCAAAAAAAAAAAAAAAAAAGAGAGAGAGAATAAGATATCTCCTACTTCTGATTTTGTAATTTGAGGTTTTTGATCTGCAGTTCACACGGGAGTTGAATTCATTAAAGAAACAAAGCATCATTAATTTCATGGAAAAAATAAAAGAACATCACACCCAACCAAAGGAAGGATTTTTAAGTGAGACCATCAAGAATTAACTGGGAGGCACTAATTCCAATGGCAGATAGGTGATCATGAAGAGGATAAGACACAGAAGAAAGTCCATGAGAAAGCATGATGCTGCCATGGGTAAAGAAAGCCTGGAGCCCCCACTAGGAAAGGCAGGAAGGAGTCTCCCCAGACCTCTGCAGAGAGGATGACCCTGTCAGCCTTGAACTCTGACATCTGGTATCCAGGACTATGAAAGAATGAATTCTATTTCTATTGCTTTAAGCCACCAGTTTGTGGTCAGAGGACACTCAAAACAACTGCTTTGCTAGGTTTGAGAAGGTGGTCTTTTGTCTGTCCCTCTATCAGCTCTGGAATTCCTGTTTTTAAATTTTATTTATACTTTTATTTTATGTGTGTGTATTGCCTGCATGTATGTATGTATGTATGTATGTATGTATGTACCTGTGTTATGCAATGCCTGAGGAGGACAAAAGAGGGTGTCAGATCCCCTGGAACTGGAGTCATGGACAGCCGTTTGTTGCCATGTGGGTGCTCTGGAAGAACAACCAGTGTTCTTAACTGCTGAACCATCTCATCTCCCTAGCCCCAGCTCTGGGAGTTTCAATCCCTTTGTTCTCACCCAGT